TTTTATAAAGACATAGTTTGCAAGTATTTTCTCCCTGTATGTCTTGCTCTTCATTTGCTTAACAGTGTCATTTAAAGAACAAGAGTTACCTCTGCTAAGTCCCACTTAATCCATATATTTTCTTTTGTAATAAATTTCTGCTTTTCATAGCCTATTTAAGAAATCTTGGCTAACCCAAGATCACTAAAAATATTCTCCTGTGTTTTCTGCTAGATGTTATAGATGGATGGATGCTTTCTCTGCATCTGTTGAAATGGTTATTTCTCTTAGTCTGTTAATACGGCGAATTACATAGATCGATTGCCAAACATGAAGCTGACCTCAAATTCCTCATGTAAATCCCATGTAGTCATGATGTATTATCTTTTTTTATATAGTTGGATTTTTATTTTTTTACTAATTTACTGATTTTTACAAGTTTACTAAAATGTGATTGACAGTTTTGTTATATGATTATAAAGAATATTGCTCTGGACTTTTCTTGTAAAAGACTGATTTTGCTATCAGAGAGTATTGATGGCCTCATAAAATATATTCTTTCATTTTCTGGAGAGTTTTTGTAGAATTTTGTTTTGTAGAGTTCACCATTGATGCTAGGAGTTTTTTTTTTTTTTTTTCTAAAAAGTACTGACCTGTTGAGATTGTCTTGTTCATTGAGCTTTGGTAGTATGTGCCTTCCAAGGAATTTGTCTGTTTTCATTTAATTTGGATTTATTAGTATAAAGTTTGTGATGTTCCCCTATTGTCCTTTACCTATTGGTATTTTTAGTATCTGTAGTAATGCTCCCCCTTTCATTGATTATTTTGATTATATAGATTTTCTCTCTTTTATTTCAAATCAGTTCAGTTCAATTGCTCAGTCGTGTCCGACTCTCTGCGACCCCATGGACTGCAGCATGCCAGGCTTCCCTGTCCATCACCAACTCCCAGAGCTTACTCAAACTCATGTCCTTTGAGTTGGTGATGCCATCCAACCATCTCATCCTCTATCATCCCCTTCTCCTGCCTTCAATCTTTCCCAGCATCAGGGTCTTTTGCAAAGAGTCAGTTGTTTGCATCAGGTGGCCAGTACTGGAGTTTCAGCTTCAATACCAGTCCTTCCAATGAATATTCAGGACTGATTTCCTTTAGGATGGGCTGGTTGGATCTCCTTGCTGTCCAAGGAACTCTCTCAAGAGTCTTCTTCAACACCACAGCTTAAAAGCATCAATTCTTCGGCGCTCAGCTTTCTTTATAGTCCAACTGTCACATCTGTACATGACTAATGAAAAAACCATAGCTTTGACTAGACGGACCTTGGTTGGAAAAGTAATGTCTCTACTTTTTAATATGCTGTCTAGGTCGATCATAACTTTTCTTCCAAGGAGCAAGCATCTTTTAATTTCATGGCTGCAGTCACCATTTGCAGTGATTTTGGAGCCCAAAAAAATAGTCTATCACTGTTTCCATCGTCTCCCCATCTATTTGCCATGAAGTGATGGGACTGGATGCCATGATGTTTGTTTTCTGAATGTTGAGTTTTAAGTCAGCTTTTTCACTCTCCTCTTTCACTTTCGTCAAGAGGCTCTTTAGTTCTTCACTTTCTGCCATAAGAATGGTGTCATCTGCATGTCTGAAGTTTTATATATTTATCCCTGCAATCTTGATTACGGCTTGTGCTTCATCCAGTCCAGCATTTCTCGTGATGTACTCTGCATATAAGTTAAATAAACAGAATGACAGTATACAGCCTTGACATACTCCTTTCCCAATTTGGAACCAGTCTGTTGTTCCTTGTCCGGTTCTAACTGTTGCTTCTGGACCTGCATACATATTTCTCAGGAGGCAGGTCAGGTGGTCTGGTATTCCGATCTCTTTAAGAATTACCCACAGTTTGTTGTGATCCACACAGTCAAAAGCTTTGGCGTAGTCAATAAAGCAGAAGTAGATGTTTTTCTGGAACTCTCTTGTTTTTTCTATGACCCAGTGGATGTTGGCAGTTTGATCTCTGGTTCCTCTGCTTTTTCTAAATCCAGCTTGAACATCTGGCAGTTCACAGTTCACGTACTTTTGAAGCCTGGCTTGGAGAATTTTGAGCATTACTTTGCTAGCGTGTGAAATGAGTGCAGTACATGAGTGTAGTTTGAACATTCTTTGGCATTGGAATGAAAACTGACTTTTTCCAGTCCTGTGGCCACTGCTGAGTTACCCAAATTTGCTGGCATATTGAGTGCAGCACTTTCACAGCATCATCTTTTAGGGTTTGAAATAGCTCAGCAGAAATTCCATCACCTCCACTAGTTTTGGTCATAATGATGCTTCTTCCTAAGGCCCACTTAACTTTGCATTCCAGGATGTCTGGCTCTAGGTTAGTGATCACACCATCGTGATTATCTGGGTTGTGAAGATCTTTTTTGTATAGTTCTTCTGTATATTCTTGCCACCTCTTCTTAATATCTAATGCTTCTGTTAGGTCCATACCATTTCTGTCCTTTATTGTGCCCATCTTTGCATGAAATGTTTCCTTGGTATCTAATTTTCTTGCAGAAATTTTTCTTGAAGATTTTTCTGTAAATGTCAATTAAATCCAGTCAGTTCACATTAATGGCATTTTTTCAGTCCTTTTATATCTTTGTTGATATTCTGCCTTACTTAAGAGAGTAGTTGAGCCTCTTAACTATAACTATCAATTTGGTTATTTCTTCTGTCAGTTTTGTCGGTTTTTATTTCCTGTACTTTGAAGTTCTGTTGCTAGTTTGATATATGTTCTGCGAACTGGTCCTTTTATCAGTATGTAATATGTAAGATATGTAATATGTAATGTCCCTCTTTGCTTTGAGATCTGTTTGTCTGATATTAATTTAGTTACTCCATCTTTCCTTTGAGTATGCTTGCGTGGCATATCTTTTTCCATTCTTTTACTTTTAATCTACTCATACCATTATATTTGAAGTGAAACTATTAGTAGTGTATCGTTTGATCATTGTTTCCCTCTTCTCTGACAATCTTTGTCTTTTAATTGTTGTTTTTAATATTTGCATTTTATATAATTATTGCTATGTTTCGATTAGGTCTGTCATTTTATTACTGTTTTGTGTGTTCCTTCTGTTTTTCATTCCTCAGTATTTCTGTGTCTGCCTTCTGTTGGGTTATTTGTACATTCCTAAACAGTCAAATTTTACTTACCCAATGTGATTTTGATCACTTCTTTGTGCATCAATAGTTCTAATGATTACAGTATATATCTTAGGCCCAGAACCTAATTATATATCAAATACTTGATTGACTAAAGTAATATTTTAAAAATCCAGTTGTCAGTTTTCTTGGTGCTGAGATTTTCCAAATACAGTTATTGAATAATAACAGCTTTTTCTAACAGTCTACTAATACAATATTATTGCCATGTTTAATTTTAATTTTAAAAAATATTCATGACATTTCTTCATTCACCAGTGACTTATTTCACTTGATCTACAGAAGAGATACTGCTTTATCTTCATAGTCTCACCTGGGTTAGTGGGTGTTGATACTATGCAGCTCAGTTTTGCTTTTGAGTCAGAATTTTTCTGTTTAGATATGACTTGTAACTCTTAACTCTGTAAGGTTTGCATAGAGCTGGCTTTGAGGACAGTGCTATGTTTAAATGACTCTGTTTATATAGTAACAGTAGAAAGTTAAATGACCCCAAGGGAAACTTTGCCTCTTTGGTGTAGTGTCAGTATTTTCCCTTTATTTCTTCAAGTTTGTTTCCTGCTCTATAAAATGAAAGCTTTGAACTATTTGAACTCTGGAAGTTTAATGTGTTGCAGTATACTCAAATTTGGCTACATTCAGGTTAATTTAAACTAGTTTTGATAATTTACCAATTAACTCATTTCAGTTAAGGATATTTTGGTTATGTTTCTATCGAAACCACAAATTTTAAAGCACCAATTTGAAGAATATAGATTTTTACTAATTTTCTATTTCCAGAATATCTGGATTTTAATAATTTGTATAGATCCTAGAATGTATCTTACTTAGATCGATACCCCCTTATAGGAAATTTACAGCATCAAGTAGTTAAAAGTAAGGCTGTCAGTCGTTAACGCTTGTTGCTGCGGCCCGAGTCCTGCTGCTGTGAGCCGGCAGCCGTGGTGCAGCCAGAGGCTGCGCAGGAGAGCTCTCTGTGGCCGTAGAACAGGTGACGGTGCCAACACACAGGTGCTGTGTAGTGTGGGAGCAGTGTTTAATTAATTTAACTTTCAACAACCATGTGTGGCTAACAGCACACAGGTCTAACCTCATGGCTACCCATTTTGTATTGTAAAACCCACGTTTTGGAATTTTTTCTGGATCTCTCAAGCAAAGGCTTCCAAGAGGCCCTTTGATCTATTAAATCAGTTTGTAGAGCATGAGACAGAAGACTGAACAAGTTGGAAAGAAAACAGTATGTAAAGTGACAATTACAGTATGATAAGGATTAAATCAATGTATAGACTATAGAGTGACTAAATACCTGGGGGTGTCTGGGAGTTCAGTGAATGAAAAGAAACCACTCTGGGGATTTTAAGTAGTGAGGACTTTATTTAATTTAAAATAGCATTAGATGTTGTAAAATTACTTATCATACCTAGAAATAATTAGAAATAATTTCCGGACTAATGCAGAACTACCAGAGAATTTGTTAGGAGCTCCAGCTGCTAGAGCCATGCTGGGGGTGGGGGGGTGACAGACACTTAACTTCCACTTCGACATGGCTGGTTACCCCAAAAGCTAAGGTTAGATACTAGTCTAGAGAAGATGGAAAGCGACATAATAGTAGTTTTCTTCTTTTCAGTGGCAAGCTGAATGGACTTGAATAGGAGATCTTTAATTAAAAGATCGTTAAATGAAAGCTTACTTTAGGCTAAGATAACCTACCTAAGAAATGACTTTATAGAGACATAGAGGTAACCAAATTGCACTAATTGTGATGCATAAACTAAGTAGGTTTCATTGCATATGTATGCAAATAACCCTTATATATCCATTCTTTACAGATCCAGGATGAGAAGACTGACAAGAGAAGAAGCTAGCTGAACAGCTATAAGATGCCCAAATCTGGGTTCACAAAACCAGTTCAGAGTGAAAATTCTGACAGTGACAGCAATATGGTAGAAAAACCATATGGAAGAAAGGTATATGATTATGCTAAAGATTTTGTCGACTCTTTAGAAATTGTGAAAAAAACTCCTGATTTAGTACTTTTATTTACTTTTTAAAAAATTTCTCTAATTGTAAGTTTTATTAATTTAATTTTGGGCATACCTAGTAGCTTGCTGGATCTTAGTTCCCCTTCCAGGGGTTGAACCTGGCCCTCCACAGTGAAGTAGTTAGATGTCCTAAGCACTGAATTAGGGTGCCAGGGAATTCCCATGATTTAGTATTTTTAATATTAATAATTGTCCATAAAATAAAAAACAGTATGGAAGCCAGATTTGGGCGTGAGATTGTTTTTCATTCCCTGAGATAACAAAATTACTAAGATCACACAGTTAACTTGAGAAATAATCAAGGGTTGGGGAATCCAAGACTTCACAGTCATTTGTTATTTCTTCCCCCTGACTCCTGGTAGCAAAACGCACAAATACAATAGCTATTCAGTTTTCCATGTTTGTAACTTTGGATAAATCTTATGTAATTTTTCCAACTTCAGTGTAATAGAGGACAGTGGTACTTTATAGAATTGTGACAGTGAAATGACTAAAGTGTTGTATCTAATACAATGCTTGTTATACAGGAAGTACTCAATAAATGTTAACTGTTTTTGTTGTTCGTTATTAGTCCTTGCCAGTGATTCTGCCCTTTTACAACTTTCCTTCTTCATTCCTATTTAATTTAGGCCCTCTAAACCTTTATTTAGACTTCTGCAGTTATCTAGTAATTGGTCTCACTGTCCCTAGTCTCTCCTCCATCTAGTAAGTTTTATACGTTACCTTTGAAGTTTTTTTTTTTTCTCTTTCTTTTAAGTTCCTTTCTTCCCCTCAGCCATTTTATTGTTGAAGGACATCTGAAATATTTTCAGTTTTGGGCTAACACGAAGAAAGAGTCTCTGAACGTTTGTGTATAAGTTTTTTTTTAAATTAGCTTTTTTGAGGTATAATTAAATGCCATAAAATTCACCCATTTTGTGTGCAATTCAGTGATTTTTAGTAAGTTTATAAAATTGTGCAACTATATCATAATGCAATTTAGACCATTTCCATCATTGTTAAAAGATCCTTATGCCCATTTGCAGTGTGTCCCTGTTCCCACCCCAAACCCCAAAAGACTTCAAATCTGCTTTCAAAATCAAACATGTAAGTTTTCAACTTTTGCTCTTTTAAAAAATTTTTTTGGCTATTTAGGTCCTTTGCATTTCCATGTGAATTTTGGGATTAGTTTATCAGCTTCCACCAAAAAAACCCTGAAATTTTTACAGGTATTTTATTGAAACTGTAGGTTACAGACTGTAATAGTACTGTCATCTTAACAATATGTCTTCCAATCCATTGCCACAGAATATCTCTCCATTTATTTAGATTTCCAGTTTCCCTGACTAATGCTTTGTAGTTTTCAGTGTACAGATCTTGTAATTTTATTGTTAAATTATTAATATTTCCTTCTTTCAGGTGCCACTGTAGATAATTTCATTTTTTATTTTTTTAATGTTTAGTATATAGAAATGCAGATATTTTTGTATGCTGATCTTGTATCCTTTGACCTTACTGAACTCATATATTGATTCTAAAAGTTTGTGAATTCCTTAGGATTTTCTGCATTTGGGATTGTCATCTGCTTACAAAAATAATTTAACTTCTTTTCCAGTATGAATGCTTTTATTTCCTTTTTTTGCTTGATTGCACTAGCATTCTCTGCTTTTGATTGTAGTGTTTAGCCCACTCACATTTAATTAATTATTGATAAGGTTGGATTTATAATTGTCATTTTGCTCTCCGTTCTTATGTTTCAGATCTTTTTCTTCTCCCCTCGTTGCCTTTTTAAAATATATATGTATTTTTCAGTGCACTATTTAAATTTCTATGTTTTGTGACCATGTTTCTTAAATTGTATTTTTAAATGTTGATCTAGGGATTATAATGTGCATGCTAATTACTACAGGTTATTATTGAGTTAATGCAGTAAAATAAGGCAACTTTGCTCCAGTATAGCTGTGTTACCTTCCCTTCGTTTGTGTTATCTGTGTAATATAGATTATATCTACAGTTGTTATTAGCCCAACAACAGAATGTTATAATTATTATTTTATACATTTTTGTTTTTAAAGAAAGAAGAGAATTAAAGAGAACTATATATATTTATACAGTTCTTTGTTTTTACCAGAAATTGACCAGTTCTGGCACTCTTAATTTCTTCCTTTGAATTCAGGGCACTGGTGTCATTTTCTTACCATCTAAAGAATTTTCCTTAGGATTTACTGTAAGACAGATTCTCAACTGTGATTTCTCTCAGTCTTCGTTGACCTAGGAATATCTTGATTCTGCCATTCTCAAAAAATGAGTATTTTGAGATATAATTCACATACCGTACAATTCACTCATTTAAAATGTAGAATTCAGTTGTACCTTTATCAATTACCTTTATCAATTTTAGTATATATTCACCTGAAAAAGAAACCCTATGTACCTATTACCAGTAACTCCCCATTCTGTCCCTAAATCCCACAGCCCTAGTGTGAATAAGCCTACATTCTGTCTCTATAGACTTTCCTATTCTGGATATTTCACCTAAGTGGAGTTACAGTTTGTGGTCATTCATGACTGATTGCCTTTATTTTACTGGATATAGAATTCTTACTTGACTTTTTTTTCATTTTAGTATTAATATCAATAGATTGTCATCCCACTTTCTTGCTTCAAGTGTTTCTAATGAGAAGTCAGCTGTTAATTGTGATGAATTTTTTTCATTGCTGTTCTTTTTTTTTTCTTTAAATCATTTGACTGTAATGTGTTTAGGATCCCTTTTTGATTATTCTACCTAGAGTTTATTGAGTTTCTGGGATCTGTAGATTAATATTTTATGAATTGGTGTGTTCAATTTACTGATTTTTTTTTTGCCATCTGTTGTTGAAGATACCTAGTATATTTTCAGTCACTCTGCTTTTCAAATCGAGTATTTCCATTTGGCTTTCTTTGTAATTTTCCTTTATTCCAGATCTCTATTTGATAAGTTGTGGTACTTTGATTCTTTGAACAATGTTTTCTTTCTTTCTGATAGTTACTTTACAGTCTTTGCCAAAGCTAGTATCTTGACCAACTCAGAGAAGTTTCTGTTGAATACTTTTTCCTCACTTTCCCATATGTCTTCATTTTTGTTGAAAATGAAACAGTTTGCGTAATATATTACAACAACTCTGGTTTCTCTTTATTTTCCACCTGAAAGTTATAACTGTTGCTAGTTTTTGTTTGCTTTTAGTAAGTTGTCAGGTGTTTTGGATGTTTGTTACTTTGTCACAACCACTGGGGTCTTGTTGGGGGTGGGGGTTGTTTGGTCTTGCTTTCTAGGGGTTGCCCCATACTTATATGGGTTAGTCAGCAACCATTGATTCAGACACTTTGCTGAAACACCTTGAGCCAGTAAGATTTCTACCTTCCACTGGTAGATTTGCACGTGTTTTAGGGAGCATGTTCAGTTGTTATAGCCACGCGTTCTGGGAAACAGACTCACTCAGGACAGTGCAGATGGTGGAGTGCAGTTTATTACACCAGCGGGCCCAAGGCAGAGTCTCCTCTTAGCCAAGGACCCTGACTAGTTTTTGTGAAAACCTTATATACCCTAAGTGTACTTGCTCAAACCCACCTCCCCAAATTCCTTGAAACTAGTCTGGACAAGGTGAAAGAGAGATACGATCAAAGTTAACCCATGGTTCCTGTGTCACAGGACTAGATAAACAGTGGACATTTTTCAATAGGACTGTGGTCATATCCCGATAAACATAATGGAATTAATGACTTTGTTCTGTTACAGAGATAATTAGCATATTCTTTTGGCAAGGGAGAGTCCAAGTCCTGAGGCTCTTTTATCCAGGGGTCTGGTTTCCCACTGGTATGCCACTTCTATAGACACCGGGCACAAAGTTCAGAGTCCACTGGGAGGGTGACCATGCGTGTAGCCTAATGTTCGCAGCCTGGCCTAAGATGGAGTCCAGCTCCGTCTGTTTCCTCCTTCACAGTGTTCAGGCATTTTCAGATCTACCTTAGCATTTACTTTCTATTGGGCTCACCCGGGTCTTCCTTCATGCGTGCAGGCTCCTTGTCGACTCAGGGTGTTGTGGAGAGCTTGGACCCTCACACATCTCCACCACATGCGCACATAGTCTTGGTGTCATCAGGGGTCTGTGCAGAGGCTCACCATTCTCTGATCTTCCCCACATGCTTTCCCAGCTGCCCTGTCAGCCAGGGGTGAATGGCTGTCTTATCTAGTGCTCCCCTGGCTCCTTGATTTCTTCAATCTCTCTGTTAAATTTCTGGCTTGTCTATCTGCTGCTGCTACCCAACAGTGGGACCACACAGCCTTAACTAATAGAACTGTGTTTTTTTGTTCCCTGCTTCCATTTGTTTCCTACACTGTTGGCTGTTTTCATCAACAATGCGACTGAGGGGTGAGGTTTTGGCTTTCTATGTCAAGTCACAGCGACTGTCTGGCAGCAGAGATGCTGGTTTTCACTGCCAGCTCCACCCTGGAACCTTGTCATGCAAACTAAGCATTAGCTGGGAATGAGAACCGCCCCAGGCGAGAATGCAGTCTTCTTATCCATAGTTCAGCAGTTCTTACCGAAAGTGCTTCTCAGTTTGTTTGTTTTTGTTCATTTTCTGGAGCCTTGAAAATTTTTTTTTTTTTTGACAATTTTGTCTAGGATTATAGTTGTTTCTTGCAGAGATAAGTTGCCAGTATCTTCATTCTACTATAGACAGAAGTTTTCTCAAATGTATTTAATGCGCCGAATCGCAAGGAGAATGAGTTCACTGATTTACTTATTTTATCCAACAAACCTCATGTGGGATGCTTGTTTGTGTTGTGTGCCTTTCCTGTGAACCTTTGAAACAAAAAGTAGTTAATGTTTGGTCTAAATCTTTATGAAGACTCTTAAGTAACTGCTTTGTCTCTGTTCCTGAAATGTTTTCCTCTCAGGACCCCT